GCCTCAGGTGATCAAACAGAGGTTCAGGCCGTGACTCAGCAGTTCCCATACACAGGTGACTGCAATGGATATCAAGATTCCAGCTCTTACCAAGTTTTTCTTATTTTATCAAACTGCGCATATAGAGGAAATTCACTCAAAATCAATATTGGAAGATTGCTAGGAAGCCAACAGAGGCAAGAACTACAAAGGCATGAAATAAAGGAATAATGGTGCCTCTGCATTATGGTACAGGATGTAACTGAACGACTCCGTGTTATTTTCCCAGCACAGATGGATCCTTGGCTGTGCAGCATGTTGTCATACACTCAGCACTGTGTTATCATTAGTTATTGTGCAGTCAGTATTTTATTCTCACCTCATTTCATGGCCCCAAACCACTTCTTTAAATTCTATTCACATCCTGCTCTGAAGATAGAATGGCTTATATTGTCATCTTCATGATGCTTGTGTGTGCTTTACAAACTTCAATCAATTTATTTTCACCACATCTTGTGATTTCTGGCACTTTATAATCACCACTTTAGCATGAGGGAGCTGAGGCACACAGACAAAGGCTAATAAATATCATCACTTTGGATGCCCAATTACAGTATCTGTTGCCTGATTTTCCAACTGCTTGTATTCAAAACTCCACTTCCATTGATCTAATTTGCAGTACTGTGTGCTCTGTACTCATATAAATCAGACTCCAGACTACAGCCAAATATACAGAATGTCTGTAACATACAATTAGTGGCTGTTTATGAGGCAATTATCTAAATAACTTGCCAAGAATGATCCCAAGGCTTTGTGGCAAAAGCAGGTGTGAATTTGTATTCTCATAGCTACAGTTATTCCTTTAATCATGATAGCCTCTCTCATCCTTTCTTCGTTTCTCTACCTCACTTCATACCCACTTTCTCATTTCCTTCACAAATTTGCAGATTGGTCAGTGATGGCTGGGCAGTGTGCTGTAACATATTCAGCACAGTGCCATCAACAGTGATGGTGTATTCATTACACGTTTTCACCCTGCTGTGAATGCAGGGATGCCTGATAATACATTCCACTACTGAAGTCTGCTTTGTCCCCACCTCTCAGTCCCACAAGCAGGAACCATGCAGTCAAGGGTTGGAAGTGATCTTTAAGAGATCCTTCCCTAGGCCACCTAGGTATGCCTGAAGCCTGACGAGCATTTGTCTAACCAGTTTGTAAAAATGGGAATTCTCTCCAATGGATTCATTTCTGTGTTAAATTACAATTACTATTGTAGTGCTTCTTCAGGTTTTCAGTCTCAATTGTCATCCCTTTAATTTAACCTCCAGCCTCCAAGACCAACAAGGTGAGGATGGGGTTCCATGAATAACAGGTAAAGTGGTCACATACATAAAGATTGCATTGTAATGCACCAAGGATGCATAGGTAACCCAAGATGCAGCATTTTCTAACTTTTGAGCATAAGATTGAAATAAAAATAAAATCTCCTTATTAGTGTGGGAATAATACGTTTCATAGAAATTTGTCTACTTGTTCCTTTTCTCAATATTTAACATCTCTTTCTTTGAAATATCTTCAACACTAATACAAAGAGTCAAAAAAGATGAAGTGTTAGCAGTGCTTAGGTTGACCTTGGGACCTTAAAGATACAGTCTTTAAACAAGGAACAATCTTTTCTATTAGATATAAATCAATCTTCTAGTAGCAGCAGATATTTTATTTAAACCAAGTTTTAAGCTAAAATTATTGCAAGCTACAGATTGAATATTATGTCCTTGCTGTCCTTGGGTGAAATGGTATAGTTGAAGATGGTGGGAGACTTATTCAAACTCATGTCCTTTCCTTTAGGATTCTCTGTGAAGACTGCAATACCACAAAATGATGAATGACATTTAGCATTTGCCTGCATCAGTAGCTCTGGCTGTTGGATGATACTTCCTACCATTTTAACTACAGAGGGAGGACATCCAGCTTTATCTTTACTATTAATTGAGAATATACAATTCTAATCAGTAACATAGGCTGTGGAAACATTCCTACATGCTGAAGAGAAACTAATTCCCCAATCCGAAGCACTGAAAGCACCGAGCAAAAATGTGTGACTTTCAAATGCCAGCCCATGATTCCTCTTTCCTTGATGTGTTTTAACACCTGCCATGCACCAGGAAATTATTCACATAATATATCCAATACAAAATACAAGAGAAATATCTGCCCATTTGTGAAATGTGCCTTAGAACAGTACACCATGGATTTTGACACATTTTTTTGAGATGGCATTAGGAATAGGTTGAATTTAGGGATTTAAGATGTCTATATGTGGCATTTGAGAATAAGCAGGGTGAAAACAGACTGGTCACAGAAATCAGAGTGTATGTGAAAATAAGCCCTCATTCTGTCTTTCTCTATTTCTTTTTACACCAGAAAATTTGTCTTGGGAGCAGAGGCCACCCTCTGACATTTCGACATTTAGACCCAAATGAGATTCCAGTCAGAAATGCAGCCCCATGAAAATAATCAAATCCAATCAAATGCAAAAGATGTGACCAAAAATATCTACATAAAAAATGTGTAGATGAATATGAACTCCCTTGGAGAGAACACAGTAGGAATGGGTCAGACCTCAACTCAGCAAGGGTAAGAGGCAGCAAGAAAGCAAAGTTGCTGGACCAAAGAAACCGAAAAAAATTTGGTATAATAGTAGGAGATTAAAATAGGGGGAGTGTGAAAAATATCCAGGGACACTGCAACGAGACTTCTGAAGGAGGGAATACAAATGAAAAACAAAAATGCAAAGAAACTTCTGATACACAGTAAAACCTTGAGGGCATTTGTATCTCAACAATTCTAAGAGGCTCTCTTTAAAGAAAGGACATCTGAAAAGTAAGTCAGAGCATTCTCAAAATGTGGAAGGAGAACTGTAACTCTGAAGTACAGATCACTTGGGCTGATATTCCTATGGGCAGATGTAGATGTGCAGCTTGCAGACACCTGCTCCTGAGTTGGCTTTTTGAGCTGAGAAGATAAGCTGGCAATTCTAAGGCACTGCCTCATCCTAAGGCAGACATCTGAACCAGGTCAGATGAATAATCTAGAGAAAATACCAAGTTCTCTGCATTGGCTACAAGGCCAGTTGTGGCTTAGCAGGTCAGCTGAAGATACCTACATTGTAAACTGCTGAAGAGAGATAAGCTGAACCCCACTGAAAGTGGCTGTTGATTCCATTTGAATACAGGAATTGTTCTCTGACTTTTCAAGAAATGCAAACAAATGCTCATGGGGACTCACCCTGAGGGTTATCGAACGAGGTGGCTTCTGAGGAGGATCTTCGTGTAGCCGGTCTCCCAAGGATGCCAGAACACGCTTCCGATGACCAATCAAGCTAATTTTTAAGACCTGGGAAAGTGGCAAAATATCTCATTAGAAAGAACACATTGCAATCATTAAATAAAGAAGGACCGTTCAGAGTGAAGACATTTTGTCTCTAAGCACTTTAACAATTAGTTCACGGTACAGGTTGAGCAGAACTGTGTAAAGCAGACAGAAAGCACAGAAAACGAAGGAAGATACCAAAGCAGGTATAAATGTGTAAAATGAAAAATAATCTCAGAAGAGTAAGGAGGAAAGAAGAATGATATAGAAAGAGAAGGCAGCTGAGCAGGACCAAAAAAAAACCAACAAGAGGAGACTGGAAACAGAGATGGAGTCAAGAAGTGAATTATAAGAATTATAGGAATTCACATGTATGGGAAGGTTGCCAGTATTAGAGACTAGAAAGGGAGGAACAGCCAGCAGATACTTAGAGACAGTAGAGACAAGGGGCAAAAGGAACTGTGTATACCATATAATACTAGTTATAGGCCTATTCATCATTCTTTTTATGGGTAGTCTCTGAATGACATGCACGGTTTGCATTTCTCTCTTAGAATCACCCTTATGTAAGAAAAACAGGATAGATATGTTCTCTCAAAACTTGTCCTGGTATTCCACTACTTCTATCAGATGCAATGAAAAATATCTGTTGCACACAAACATGACTATCTTGTGGACATGTTCAAATTCCTTCTGCTCATCCAAACTCCAAGAACACCACCGAAAAATTGTTTCAAATTCATTTGCAATTATTGCCTACCTATACCCCTCCCTGTCCCTACCATGTACAAAAACACCACTGTTTGTAGGAAAAAAGAAAGAGAAGAAACAGAAAGTTGGAAACTTGAGTATAACTGAAAAAAGAAACAAGAAAGAACGTATTTTGATGACACTCTTTAATAGCTCCAATTGCTTCAAAGTGTAAAGCAGCCTTGACTGTAAAAGCAAGCCTCTGCTCTCCAACAGCAGATCCTCACGTAACTCTTCCAGACTGCATATGGTTTCATACACCAGAGCTGCCTCCATTCATTCCCAGAAGACAGTGCTTCCCACTATTTTTAGGGCCACCGTGTGTTAACAGCTATCAGTGGAGAGGAATTTCTCACTCAACCTAGAAAAAATGATAGTTCCCAGAAAACCCCGAAAACACTACCTTGTAAATGAACAATTACCTCAGTTCAAGCAGTACCACTAAGAATACTGCTCATGAAAAAAAATAAGACTAAACAAACAACAAAAAAGAAAGCCCAGCAGCTCTGCAAAGGCATCTCCTGGATCCATAATCTCAGGTTACAGTACAGCAACACACAGTCCTCATTCTCAGGGTGACCTCCGATCCACAGGAGAGTGAAATCATTCACACATCCACTCCCATACTATGCTGATACCACTAAATATCAAGAATATCCTGTCTACCTGAACCCGTAAAGTGATGGGCTATGACATGATATGGACATGACCTATGACAGGTCCGAGCTGCGGAAGTCCCACCAGCCTCTTATGCTCCCTCGTGTTGGCCTACATCTGTGGAAGCTCTCATAAGGCTGAGATAGGAGAGCACACACTGAAATGCCAGAGGCACACAGGAGACTTAGTTATGTATTCAGTTTACACTGAATTTAAACAGAAGGGTGCACAGTTTATCTTGGTATTTAACTGTATGAAACACGTGAATGAACTACAGCTGCTTTAAGCTGTACTCAGGTAATGCACTTCACTGAACTCCTTTCTTTCATAATGCTTTCCCCATCATCAAGAGAATCTTCCCAGAGATTTTTAAGTCAATCTACAATTCTTGGGTCATTCTGAGGTCCTCAACGCTTTTGAATGCCTTATTAGCTATATCAAACCAGGTAAAGGAATCCACACAAAGCAGTTCTCCACGATTTCATACAGCTGCTGAACAGGAGACGAGAGGACACCAGTCTTGGGGGATTTTCACATAACAGGTAGGAGGGTTCACATGGTTGCATTATTTCAAAAAGAGCACTCAATTACAAAACAATACAGATCATTAAACTTCATAAACACAGCAAGTTTATTTGACTTTTTTTTCCCCCACTAAAATGATGGTTGCCCCAAATCTGAAGTGGTATGGATTTAAAGATGAAACCTACAAAAACCATTATCACCCTCAGCCAGCAGATCTGTTTACTCAGTTGGAGTACATACTATTATCTGAAGGCACTCGTTTTCTTCCAGATGAACTCTTCCTATTTCTCCACTTAACAATATAAAATATTGTTTTCTGAGGCACTTCTATATTTGAGTTATGAGATTTAACAAACACCCTGGAACTCTGAAAACTTGTTCTGTGATGGATTATCCTTGACAGGATTTATCAAAAAAATGTCAAATACCACAAATATAGGCCAACGGTGTACAATGGCAAAGTTGCCTCAAGCAATCTTAGGAACATCTTAGTGTTTTTTTATCAGAACACCATTAAAAATCTAGCACACACTTAGCCCACAAGTTACTTGCCCATGGATATCTCCTATGCGGCATGCAACAGTGAAACCAATAGAGTGCACATAAGTGCTGTGCAACAAGGCATTCTGTCAGATGGACTGTAGCCCACTTCATATGTGACAATGAAAGAGTTTTGCATTGTGGTTGCAGTAATCAGCTAGACAAACTGTGTGTGCAACTTAAGGCCCCGCACAGCCTGTATTTCATTACTGGGACAAAAAAAGCATGTAGATGACATGTCTGCTTCCACACCAACTGCACAACATCTGAGATGAATATAATGCAACTCTGTCTCAGGCACTTGTTTATACCTGATGTCATGATGCAGTTAAAGGAGGATAGTGCAAATTATTTGTCCAAAGCAATTACATATGCACACAAATGTAATCCAATTTTATTCCCACATTCTCCAGTGATTAGTATACAAAATGAAATTCAACTAGGAAAATGTAAGAAATCCACAAATGTAACCAATGTTACACTTCACATTTAGATGTCTGACTTAGCTGACAGATGTTTTAAAAAACAAACACATGTAGCCCAGTAACTCCCTGGTGGCTGCATATGTGCAGATGCTGGAATTAACAACTTATAACATCTAAAACTGAATATTATTTTTGCAACAATCTTCTGCCTCATATTTTCTTCTCATGGAATAGTAGGAACAAATACTGCAACTTTGTAGTTATTCTACATTTTTTTTCCTTTTTAAATGGCATTATAAGGATTGCTGAAATGCAAGATATCAATCCCCTTTCTTTTGGAATAACATGAAAAGCTTTTATATGGAGCAGAATGGATGACATCAGTGCATTAGGATGGCCGTAGTAAAATTGGTATGGACTAAATGGGCAGTAGCAGTCAAATACTAGGAGGCAGCTATACAATGGAAAAGTAGAGAATGATCAGAACAGTACTGCTAATTCTCAAGTAGCAGCACGAGAGATGTTACAATTTAAGCTTCATCTAATAAGATCACAACCCTAACATTTAGGGCTAAAAAGAAAAAATGGACAAACCAAGGTATGGTCTTCAGCAAGTAGACAGTCTAAAATGTTGGTTAAATTGAATTTTATTAAGCTGTTGTTCTGCTGATCATACTGGAATAAGCTCAAGCTTCTTGCAGGCGAAGAATGTGTTGAGTATTACTTTTCCGCCACAACATCATGCCACATCCTGACACATGGCAGTACCCAGAATACCCATGAAGCTGGCCTCAACCAGCCAACACAGCTCACTTATCACCATATTTGGTGTAACTGAAAGCTCAAAAATGGATTTAAAGCATTTACTATATCAAACTCAGTATATGGATGACACTTTGTGCAAAATTTGACAAGCTCTACTAACACAACTGATGTCTCTGATGACAGTTCATCACCACTACCCCAAAAATACCCTCCCAAAAAACCCAACCAAACAAAAAGCCCAATTAACAGTGATCAAAACACCATGGTGTAATAATGGCCCAATTTGAAAGATAAATTTGTCTGTGTCCTTAAACTTTCATAAAAAATGACCATTGCCACTACATTAGAGAGCTGATACATGACTCCATGCCCTGCTCCTCCTGCTGATCTCCAGCTGCTGTGGGATGCTGGGCACACAGGAGCCCAAGTACCAAGTACTGAGTGGGCTCACTGATCTTCAGCTCCATAAGGCCCTATGGGATCAGGCCTATGTCCAAAGTGACTGAGCACTGAGGGAAGAAGTAAATTCTGCATCCTTCCCACCCCCTTCCTTCCTCATAGGAACATGCAATGTGTTGGCAGAAAGTAAAAGCTACACCAGACAGCTGTGATATTGAATGGAAGTAGTTTATCACCAACAGACACAGCCAAGTGCAGTCTAAACAGCATTAAACTTTTGTTGTGTTTTTCATGTAGTTGATATTGGATATTTCTCATGCTGATTCTCATCCTGTAACTGCCAATATTTTCCAGCCACAAAACCATTATCCCACTACCAATATTACAAACCCTCATTCATTTGTGCTTGAACAGTGTAGGGACTCTTCTGTGGCACCCCAAACATTCAGCAAAGCACAAGTACAGGGTGCAATGGCAGCTTCTGGGCACCTCAAGATCAGGGATGGGGTGAAGCTCTGCACACACCTCTTGTTTGCGCAACCACAATGCAAGCAATTGTGCTTTATGTATATGATGAGACTTGCAAGAGACTTCTGATTTGATACCATAATGACATAAAATATGCCTCATTATCTCTCTGAATTAATCACCCAACTGGAAGCAGATGTCAGTTGTCTTAGTGATAGCATTTCACAGAGACAGATGGTTGCCTAATAAGTTCTGTTTCTATATGTTGATCATGAAGAACTGATGTTGCTTTGTGTTTTTTTCCCCTAAAATATATAATTGAGCTGCAAATTTGCAGCTTAATGATTCTAAGAAGCCAAAGGTCAAGAGTATTCTCAAGAAAAAATGCTATTTTAAATCACAGGTTCTTACTCCCATCGGAGCTTCTGTCTGTCGCTTGCTGCCAGATTAGCTGTGCTACATCAGAGTTCAGTCACTGCCATCCCACTACAGATT